GGAAGCGGGCGGGGCTGCGGCCCAGGGGAGGGTCGTCCTGCGGGGCGGGGCCGGGCCGGGCCAGGGGGCCTGGGGCGCTTCGACCGCGTTGCCCGCGGCGCCGTGCGCTTCGCGTCTCCTGAGGAGCCCGCCGGAGGAACGAGCGCCAACTCTTCGTCGTCGTCGTCGTCCTCCTCCTCCTCCCCCCGGCCAGGTGGCGGCTGGGCCGAGCAGCGCCGCCCGAGCCCCTCGGCGAAGGGCGGGCGGACGTGCCGGTCGGCAGTTGCCTTCGCCGGCTCAGCTTCGCGGGCTCCCGAGGGGGCAGCGCCGTTCTGGCTGAGAGGAGGCTCGCTCGCTCCGACCTCGCGCCTGGAAGCGGGCCCGGCGGCGGGTGGGCGTTGGGAAGGACGCGCCGTAAACAAACTCGTCTGAAGGCCGTCTGGTAGCTGACCCCGGCAGGCCGGTGCGCGGATCCCGATTCCCCGGGGCTGCTGACCTTCGTTTCCGCTAACAGGAGTAGCGGCCGCGGTAGCGCCCTTAGGAAAAATACGCGGCGGAAATAGGGGAATTAAATAGGGTACGTTTGTTTATTTTGTGCAACAAATGTGAGTGATTTGATGGCAGCAGCTTATTCTTGTATATGCTCTTGCTAAATTTAGCTACTGTGTCAACAGAAGCATCTAAAAGCTTTACAAAGTTGTGGGGTACCAACTGAGTTATAAATCTTTGCAAAACAAACATCTGGAAACACTATTAGAGTTTCCCTCTAGAGACACGGGAACCAAGATGGGGATTTTGTCTGTTGATGTGATAATTTCGCAGTGTATTTATCTACTGGAGTTGTCAGCATTGTACATTTACAAACTAGGTCTTAGCCAGATGCCAAATTTGTGGTTATTTAGGATCAGGATGTGTAGAGGAAGCAGTTGAATTCAAGTAACGGGAACAGGCGGAGAGATGTTTGCATCTTTTGGAAAGTGAAAGCACTCGCAGCCTTTTTGAGAGATGCTCTGACTCATGTGCAGGATTGTGAGCTCTGTTTTGCCAAGCCCTGCAGCCTTAGGGCTCGAGGCCATGCTGTTCCTCAACTCTTGCTTGTGTTTCGACAGCTGGAGGCAACAAGATAGCCAAGGCGGCATCTGAGAAGCATATAACGGAACTGTTGTGTCGTCAGCTCAGTCACAATCCTCCCTGCCAAGTCCAGCTCGGGCGTGCAGGGATACCGGTCTCAGCCATAGCAGGGAATCTCAGTACGTAGATGCCAGACTAGAATTATGGGGAATGAGATTTGAGGAGAAACTGTTTTGACCTGCCTAACGAGACCATAAATGCCTGATGAAGCATTTCTCTCTTTGCATGATGGTTGGGTGGGCCTGCTCCATACACTGAGAGGCCACATTTTCTAGAGCAGACAAAGAGGGTTGCACTTGAGGTGCCCTGTTTTCCTGAAAGAAACCAGTTATTCTGCTGATAGCTGCTGAAAAATGAAATGCGTTTATGCTAACAGGATTTGAGGAATTGTCATCTCAAAACAGCCATGAGGGTTGAATGAAAAGCAATGCCTCCAATGTTATAAGTTGCCAACAGATGGCAATATTGATGTGCTAGAAGTTCTGATGTGTTCTTTAGCATCTGTTCTTTCACTTCAGTTGATGAAGTTGCTGGGAGAAAAGGTGGTGTTGCTGTTGTTCATGAAATGGAAGCCTGTAGCGCGTGCTCATCAAAATGCTTATATCCCTTCAATTGAAATTTGCCACCAAATACAGGTTGTTTACGATGGTGACTGTGCTGATACATTTGTTGCTGGGCTCAAAAACGTAAAGGTGGTAAACCAGGAAGAGCTGATTTGGGTGATCAAGAACAAAGTGGATGACGTGCAACAGGATCCAATGAGCTTCTCATGAGAAAGTTTAATGAACTGATTAAGGACATTTGGTGGATTACTTAGAGGGAAATTGGTGTCAAGCTTGGTATTTCATAGGAACGTGTAAGACATATTGATTTTCAGCATCAGAAGATTTGTACTAGATGGGTTCCTTGTATGCTGATAGCTGAGATGAAAACTTAAGAGTTGAAATTTGCCCTCAATTGTTGTCCCACAATGAGAATGTAGGTGAGGAATTTCTTCACAACATTACGACAGCCAACAAAACATGGGCTCATAATTATGACCCAGAAATTAAGTGTCAGTCCATGGCATATCATCACAAAGCTTCACCTGAGGGCAAAAAAAAACCCAAACCCAGGCTTCTGCAAGAAAACTCATGGACACTGGATTTTGGGGTGCAGATGGTGTTATTCACATAGATTTCCTTGAATCTGGCATCACTATCAACTCAGAGCGCTATATTGCAACACTCAAATCTTTGAAACAATTATTACAGAGCTAGGTGTAGGGGATTTATATTCCTCTAGATATGGTTGAACTACCATTCCCAGCAGCCGTTGTCAGTACAGCCAAAGAAATGCTGGAAGTGTTAATTCAGCCACATCTACAGAGCCAGGGGCTCTCCACGCCTGCCCCACCTGCTTTCTGATGCAGAGGTGGCTTATCACCAGCAGAGGGAAGTAACATTCCAAAGAATCTCTGGTCCAAGTAAGAAGAGCATTGAGTATCTTGATGTAGTATGACATGAAAAGTAGAAGTCTGATTCAAAGGGGTATCACAGCTATCCCAGCAGGAACCCAGATTGTGTGGATCCAACTTGGATGGGAACAGAACTGGAAAATCTCTTTCCTTGCCTTTGGTTCAGACTGTGAGTGAGGAAAATGGAACTGATGGAGGTAACTTACCATTTTAAAAGATTAACTTCTCAGCTCATCAGTTTCCTGAACAAATATGCATTAAAATTATATGGCTTAATTTCTCTTCATTGGAAGTCCATTGTCGAATAACAAAGGACATAAGTATTCTACATAGTGAATTACAGCACAATTTTAAATTTCTGTTTATGCAACCCAGTCAATATTTGTTTAGAAGCAGCTGTGAAACAAGGTGTTGCTACTGGTACTCACTTTCCCATGAGAATATAAGGGAGTAGCATAATCACTTCTTTGAAGGCTGTACCTCAGCATTTCCAGAACTGACCATTAAGTAGGTAGAATAAGGTTTTTCTGTGATGTGAAACTAAACAATAGTGTGGCTTGAAAGTTGAATGTTACATTAATTCAGGTGCCGTATTATTGTGAAATGTATCAGATTAATGCCCATTCAAATGTTCATTAAAGTCATATTATATCTTGCAGTTCTTGTTCTATTTTATGGAATGTTATATAATTGGATGTGCTAAAAGCTCTTCAAAGTGGTATGTCAATAGTAGGAAGCAGAATAGACATCCTAGTATCAGTGGAGTAATTCTAATAAGACCTAGAATATAAAAAACTGTGGAATTATTTATCCCAGTGAAGCCTGCAGAAAAATGTGTAAATTTAAGTTTGGTATCAACACTGTTCTCTTGTGTGGCCTTCTATGAAGGATCCAAGCTGTTTGGCCATGGAAAAATGAAGTAGGAATACTGAATAAGGGGTCGGATTAATTATTTCCAAAATTGTTTTCAATAATTCTACATTTATCAAAATTAAGCTCAGTCATTATACCGAGCTGCAGTGATCCTGGTGAAATACGATTCTCTGCATAGTTTTAACAAGACTGGACACTGCCGTGAAAGATGACTTTGAAATATCTCTGTATAAGGTTCTACTTGGAATTGATATCTTATGAGATAAACCAACTTCTCCAGTGTTAATATGATGAGGAGCATTTCCTGTGTAACAGCACAGAACGTCTTGCTGGATTCCTCCATGCAGATGTTATAAAACCAGATTGCTGGAAATAAAACCATTCCAATTTGCAGTTAAAATCCCATTATTTGTGCCTAGCACAGCCTTTTCCTTCAACTTCAGTACAAGAATTTAGTAAAGAGAACTAGTGGTTGAAAATCATGTTGGAGAGTTTGGAATGGGATGGATTATAGGTTGGGAGAATGCTGGGCATTGGTGGAAGATGACAAGTGTGCTTTGCTGCAGGGAAAAACTTTAGATTAGAGCTTTTCTCACAGCACAGTTAATCATAGGTGCCTTGAAAGTCTGTCCATGTGATCGCTTCAGGGCAGCCATGATCAGCACAACATTTTGGCTATCTGCCTGGTTCTTCATCCACTAGTCATGAGGTGTCAAGTATGGAAAGGGCAAGGCGCTGCTGCTCTCTGATCTCCACTGAACTGCCATGAGGTTGTTGTGTAAAGGCCCAGATTTCCTCTCATGGCCAAATCTGTTTAGGCAAAAAGCGATATAATTAAAACCAGCATAGTTGCATTTGTCCTGTACCAAGTTCAGTCCCAAAGTCCTCTTTTCTTCTCCTCCCTTCCCTTTGCACAATAGCAGAAAGATGAGGAAAGTGTCAAGGTTTAAATTGTAAAAAGAACGTTCCTAAATGAAGACTTTTGTGGGTAAGTATGCCTGCAAACTGCCTATTAAACTCCAGAGAATTTGAGCCACCCTCCCCAGGGAGGTGGGGGTATGAAGATTTCAAGGGCCTGAAGAGGGATTGCTCAAACAGTTGGTGTGGGAAAAGTTGAGAGTGGGAGGCTATCATGGTCTATGTTCATTAACTATTTGCTTTTTCAGTAATTATGAATTTAGAAAATATCTGACTCTACTTGTTCTATGTCTTGAATGTACTTAATACTTGCTGGGGCTGTAGAAACTAATGAGAAGAATCCAGGCAGTGGATTCTGTGAAAAAGATGCTTAAAGGTTTCTGGATAGTTTTGAGTTGATGTATTTATGTCTGTCTGTCTCCATTTGAATATTTTTTAAAAATAGAACCCATACTCTGAAAAGGGCTGCTTGATAGTATGTGATATATATATCTATTAAAGGATATGTTGACATAATTAGTAGGATTTAAATTTGCCTCTCTTCCGTCATCTCTGGCATAGCTGGCCTGAACATTTGTCTCTTTGACATTTGATTAAACATCTTCCTCACTGGGTTTAGCGGTGGTCTGATAGAAGGGCCAGAGGCAGGATGTCCGTCCGCCTTTGCTTCCTATTGTCTGTCAGAACCTAGCTGCCCAGGCCTAAATCAATTACTTAAAAGAGCGTTATTGGAATCTGGCATTTGGTAAGCCTTCCCTTCTGCCACAAACAGCAGTTGGACAGAACTACAAGCATCTGGCCTGGTTCTCTAGGTGGTTTGGCCCCCTTCCTCAGCAGGAGAGCTCCCCAGCCTCCTCTCTTTCTGCCTCTGTGCAAGTCCTTAAGAAGTGCATCTTACCTTAAGAAGGCTGCTGAGATCGTGATCTGTAGCTTGTCACTTTGCTTCCACTCAGCTTATGCAATCCAGCATCCATTCCCATCTGCCTTTTCTGCCGGGTTCCTGGTATCTTTATTATCTTTTGCAGGACTGGTTTTTCCTCTTTTGTGCTGAAATCTGCAGGGTGAGCCTTCTTCACCTCATCTAAACTCAAGAGTATCACATTTCTCAGGAAATAAATGGTTCTGATTCTCTGCCCTAGCCAGTTTTTCTTCCTCTCCACAACCCTAGAACATCACTCAGGCAATTGAAATGGCTGCATATGTTCTCTTGTTCATGCTATAAACCACAGAACACACACAATAGTAGCACAACATTTTATTTGGTCCAACAGATGTATTAAGATGCTGCATATTATATTCATGTTGAAGAACTTCTGTTCACATGTAGGTGCTCAAGAAAGACAACAAAACTCTCTTAAAACAACTGGAAATCTCTTGCTCTAAGCAAGGCTGCAGAATAACAAAAGTTAGGAACATGAGAAGCTGCCTTTACTGAGCTGGCCCATCTATCCCAGGGTTGGTTCTGCAGGGCTTCAGAAACCGTTCTTCCTGCCTTTCCTGAAGATCTGGGACCTTCTGCCCATGAAGATTCTGCCACTGAGTTACAAACCCTAGACCGAAATTGTCCCAAGTCTCCTTCAGAAAGAAGAAACATCAAACGTGCGTGCATGGAGCTGCTTTCCAAAACACAACAAATTCAGTGCTGGCTCTGCTCATTTCATTCATAATTTGCTTTTGGAAATGCTGGGGAAATTAATCATAAGGCTTGGATGAGAGCTATGTGAGGTTTGAAACGGCTTTGGCCTTATAGAATCTGGCACTGGTGTGTTTGCTAGAAAGCCTGGTCATCTGATGTAACTGGAGTGTGTGTTTGTGCGCACGTTCGATGAACGTCACTATTGAGCTTTCTGTGGAATTCTCAGAATTATTTTTCCAGTCAAAAGTAAATAAACTATATCATGATAGAAAGCAGCCAGCTTTTCTTTAACAGCAGGAGAAAACAAGTTACCCTGATCCTGTTTTCGCCAACTTGGGGCCTTCCAAGCGTAGTGATTGATTTCCCTGTCAGTTTCAGGTTGGGCCAAAGCAGGAAATCACTAGCTGGGCAGTGTATTTGGCCTCTTTTATTAGGGGAGGGGGAATCTCCTCCCCATCTTGGGGCCAGTGACAGTTGACTAGCTTACTCGGCCATCTTTACAGCAGAGAAAGATCCGGCAGTTATCTCACTGTGCTCTGAGCTTTCGCCCGCTGAGTTCTGCTTGTGGCTTCCATTCTGAGTAACCAGGAAGGCCCAGAGGATGGCTGCTACACACTCACCAGGTCTCTGGCATTAGCCCAGTTCGCTAGTCTGTAAGGTGGTGGTGCTGGGGGCAAGTACTTCCCTGTCTGCAACTCTTGACAAAGAGGTGAGTCTGCCCACACTCCCTCGGCTTCTCTTGCATCGTCCCCCAGCATGTGGGAACTCATAATGCTGATATTGTTGTGGTTACCTCCAGGTTTGGTTTCATGGGAGCTCGCTGACTAAGACCTATTTTGCTATTAGCCTTGGCACTTGGCACTCTTCTCCCATTTCAGCATTACCTGTTGGGCTAATCCATTCAAAGCTTTACAGCCTGCGTTCTTGAATAAACTACCATGGGCTGAATGTGCACAGAATGTTGAATCCATATATGTAAGTGTGTTGTTTGAGCCAGTTTTATATCTCATTAGTACTAATAATTTGTTTGATTTTATTTGAGAAACCAAAGCAACCTATCTGATAACCTTTGGCAAGAACAGCAGAACTCCAAACAACTATGATGATTTAAGCAATTACACACCAGCCTAACATCGAAGTGCTACAACTGTCTAAATTTATGGAGGGAGGGAGGCTGCTTACGCTGGAGAACCATCACCAAGTGCATCTGAGATAAGCCTACCAAGAAAGTAAACTGACAGCGGGTCAGATGAGTCCAACTTTTTTAAAGAAATTAAGAGTGTGGAGTTGTACTCATATAAAAAACATGTACATCTTTGATGACGTTATACAAACGATAGTTAAAACCAGACTTATAGTCCTGAAGTACTGAGATCACTTGGGGGCTCTTAACGTTTGACACTCTTACAGACATCTACATTGAAGAAGGCAATCTAGCCAGCAAAGCCGGGTAAATAAATAGACGTTGGCGTACGTGGCAACCCATCCCATCCTGCCTAGGAGAAATGGCTTCCCCCTACATTTGTCACAGCTTGCTTTATTCACCTTCTGTGCAGAATGAAGCTACTCCACAAGCTGAGTCCAGTGTGCCAGTAAAGGCCCTGTGTGCCATGGCTTCCTTCTCAAAGGGCGGGGCAGGAGGCAAACAGGAACTCAGGGGGTCCACGGCAGCGGAGGGAGGACAGACGAAGAACCTTCTCTCAGATAGTGATCTCTTGACTCAGCTCAGAGTTGGCCGAATTCAGAGGTTTGCCAGTTCCTGACTGGGACTGCTGAGCCACCTGCCCTTCTTCGCTGTGCTGGATCCCGTAACCAAAATAGATGGCAAAGCCTAAGAAAGAGACAGAGTTCCACACTTGAAATAGCATCCCCGGTGGCCCCATTCCAGACAGCCAAGCTTCCCAGATGGGATCACCAAGGCGGGAAAGATTCTGCAGCAGGCAGCTCTTGCAATAGAACAACAAGTTCCTTACCAATGGCCATCCAGACAGCAAAGCGGGCCCAGGTGCCTGCATCGAGCTGCATCATGAGATAGACGTTCACCAGGATGCTGAAGAGGGGGAGCAGAGGCAGGCCCGGCACCTGAAAAGAAAGAGGGGGCAAATTGCGAGAGGGTGCCAAGGGAGGGAGGAAGCCAGCATGGCAGCATTGGTTTAAACGCAGAAGATGGTTTCTCTTTTCCATGGCAAAATCCAATTCAGGGAGCAACAATCCAGATCTCCCGCTCCTTTGGCAAAGGGTGAGGCTCCAGATTAAGGCAACTCATCTCCACCCCACATGGGCCCTATGAGGCAGAGTAGGCCAGAGGTCTTACTTTGAAAGTGAGGCATGTCTTGCTTTCTGGCTGCCTCCAGATGACGACGGTGCCAGCAAGCAAAATGCCAAGGAGAATGACACAGGCAGTGACCCAGCCAATGCTGCCTTTTAGGAGAGCTGCCCACTGATGGGCCAGGATACCACACAGGGCAGTGATCGTGGCAGCTGCAAGGAAATAAGACCAAAAGGAAGCATTATGCAGATGAGGCCCTTTCCATTCCCCCTGCCCAAGAAGCCACTCAGCTGTAAAATCTCAGCCCCAGAATCCCTGGGATCTACTTCTGAACTCTTCCTGCTCCTCTCTTGGTCTCCTGCAAAGAAGCCAAGCCCTGTCTGTTACTCATTCCAGTCGTCCTTGGAGACCCCTCGCCTCAGCCCCAGCCACTGGTGTCCTCAACTGCAGGGTGAGCAAGGGCACCCCATTTCCACCCTTTCTCCAATAACACTTACAGATGACTGTGCTGCTGATGTAGACGATGCGCCCCGAGACATGAGTTGGAATGTCCTCAGAGGGGCAGAAAAGACTCCTCCAGCTGAACTTCTCTTTGAATGCATTCTGGCCATCGCCAGCAGTGGAATTAATGATAACCTTTTCTTCTTCACTTCCATTTATCTCAAGCATTTCCAGGTCTTTGGAGAATCTCAGTAGCTCAGGTTGGTATCTGTCAGGAAAGCAAGAGAGGTAAAAGCAGGGAGCTGGTATTCCCTGATAGTCCTTCTGCAAACAACAGCCACAAGTCCAGGAAGAATAAAGACCCAATGGCCAGGGAGGAATCATGTTTACAAACACCACACAGAACAACTTTCTCTCAGCTGTAGCTTCTCCAGTTGTGGGTTACAATTTTCATCACCCTACAAAGCCTGCCTGCGTGCCTGCCATCCAGCCTGCCTAGGGACCACCACATGTTTGTTTTCCCAAAGATGCACCCACCTGAGGATGAGCACAGAAACAGCAACCAGAGAGTACGCCAAGAGTGTGCCGATAGACATAAGGTTAACCAGGTCCTTCAGCTCAAAGAGAAATGCCATCAGGGCTGCAAGAGAACAGACTCTATAGAAATCTCCATCTGGATCACAGGTAGGGAGAAGGGAAAGAGACATATTAATGGATTGATACCTGCAATAATGCCTGACACTACAGTGGCTACCAAAGGAGTCTTGGCCCGGCTGTGAACCCGGAACAGGAACCGGAAGAGCAGTCCATCTTCAGCCATAGCATAGATCACGCGCGGCATGGGGAACATGGAGCCAAGCAAACTGCATTGAGAAAAAGAAACCTGTGTTCCCCTGAGCTTCTCCAAGAAGAAGCCATTGATGGCCAAGTGCTTGCAAATTTGGCACATGCTGTTCCTCCAATCAGTTTCTGGTCTCTACTTAGGGTTATCGTTCAGGCCTTTAAATAAAGTACAGCCAGGGGGATTGCCTCTTTTCAAAAAAACTTGCTCTCTGGCCAAGATCTCATTAAAAAGCCCTTCCCAGATCTTCTGCCTTTCATGGTTTAAGCAGGCAGCTATTGGAAAAAGGAAGTTATCTGTGATGGCGTCTCAGATGCAGAATTCCCTCTGTACTGAGATACATTCACCTTCAGGGCACGTTACTCTCCTTCAAACACAACATGAATCTTGCCCTTTTTTCTCAAACTTCTAACAAAGTTTAACTGCCATCAGATTCTCTTACCTTTCCTCTCAAAAATGGTTTGTTAAAAACCCATACTGATTTGGATACAGTACTTGGAGAACACTGTTTTGGACTCAGGAATTAACATTTAAAAATAAGTATCTAAGTAAGTTGTCAGTCACCCTGGTGAGAGGGCTATAAATCCTGCCAATAAACAAGCGAGTACTTCTGCCTGAGCAACTGAACAATACCCCTTCTGTTTCTCTTACCTTGTAGAGAGGGCACAAAGGGACCCAATGGCCACGACATAACGGGCAGGCTCCCAGCCCACTGCCTTGAAGGCATCGGGCAGAGGGCTCTCTTTATCCACCAGGAAGTAGGGTACCATCAAGGTCAAGGAAGCCGAAACACCAAAGTAGGCCACAAAGCAGATGAGGAGGGAGACAATGATGCCAATGGGGATTGAACGCTGGGGATTCCGTGCTTCCTCACCTGCAGAAGGTAGGGCGGTACATGCAGAATGACACGGGTGAAGTTCCAACAGAAGTCTCCTTCCCCTGCTATACCCAACACAGACAAATGTTAAAGAACCTCCTGCCCGTGCTGGTGATCTAGCAGGCCAGCACCACTCCTCCTACAGACGCAAACTCTGCCCTGTGAAGTGGGCTTCCTGAATGGCAGAACAACCACAGCATTGATTCCCATTTGCCATGACTTGCTGCCCAAATTATAAGCATGTTCCTCAAAGATCTCGGGAAACAGCATGGCTGAACAGGGAATCTGAGCCTCAGCGTTGATGCATTTGGTTCCCACACATCCATGGAGCATTGCAATATTTCCCTGATTTGAATCAGAGAGGAGGACACCTTGTTCCAAACCTCTCTGCTCAACACAAGAGACAGAGGTATCTTTGACAGATGGCTGTTTAAAGATCTTCCACTTCTCAGCTCCCCAAACAACTTCAATTGCTAGGAATAATCCAAATTTGCTTCCAGGAATTGCCCGCTGAAACAACTGAGAATACATGTGCTCTGCCCTGTTTAAGCTCCCCTTTCAAGCGTTTGAAGACAGCTTTCACACTGCACCTTCCCAGCCCAGCCACCCTCAACTCTTTGAAATGTTTGTCTTCAAAGTTAGCTTACTGGACCTTTGCCAACTTTGTTGGCCTTCCCACAGTTAGCTTACTGGACCCAGCCTGCAACCAGACCCAATTAACAGCACAACCAATTAGAGTGCCCAGAAATGGAGCTGCCTTCCCACCACCCCTTCTACCTTCTCCAAAGCTGCTACTTTACCTGTGGTGGCAATGCAGTCAAATCCAACAAAGGCATAGAAACACGTGGCAGCCCCCGAGAGGATTCCCTCAAAACCAAAGGGGACAAACCCCCCATTGCCAAAGTGGTCCCTGTTGGAGGAGACAGACAGATGATGGCAGGAGGAAAGCGATCTCTTCAATTTCCCCCTCAAGGAAACTCTAGCTGGCCTGGGGTCCCAATCATGCCTCCAGGGCTCTCCCCAACTTGCTCCTGCTTTCCCTTCAGTCATTACCATAGATCCATCATCCCCAAGATCACGTCTTGCAGCAGATGCTACACTGGAGCAAGGAGGACGGGAGGAATGGCTGACCTCCACCCACCCTTCTGCAAAAGCTAAGAGGATGTCATGTCTGGGGAGGAGGCCCGTACTTGCTTCCAGACTCTAAGACGTTTTGTGAGTGGTTTTGAAAATCTTCCTTGGAGAGGTTCCAGTTCTTGACATCTCCTTTCACAAAACCAGCAACAATGACAAAGCTGAGGACCAACAAGTTGATGGCTGTGAAGATTTTATTCACTAGGGCAGATTCACTCACACCAAACGACAACAAGCCTGAAAGCAAAGTAAAAAGGAGAGGGCGTGATGTTGCTCCTTAGGTTGGAGGCTTTGGCTGCTCCTAAGTCCACAGGCCAGAGATGGGCTGAGTTGATTGGCATTAAAATCCGCTTCGATGCAGTCCTAGCACCTGTCTCTTAATTAAGGCCTTTTGCTGGTTCTATTGTTCTTTGGAAGTCAAGCAACAGAGGACGTGGGCCCTTTCTGCAGCTGTACCTGAGGAGCTGCGACTCGGCACCTTTGTTGCTATTTTTAATTACCAACTTTAGCATATTCTGTTTGCCTGAGTTTTTAACAGCACCTAAGAAGAGCCTTGTGGGATCAGATCAAAGGCCCATCCAGCACATATTTGCAGGGGTGGGTGGGTGTCAAAATCTGCAAGATGGCGCACGCAGCATAGCAATTGATAGTTTGCCAATTTGGACGCACACACACACTCTGCCGCAGACACCCATAGGCCCACCCAGCCCAGCACCCTGCTCACACAGCAGCCAGTCACCTCTCTGTGGGAACCGAAAGGCAGGCCATGGTGCCATACCACCATCCCACTGATTTCAAAGGTGTGCCCATTCTGGTCTCGGAGGTAGACTCAGCTATCGTGACCCATGCCCATCCCTTGTCAACTGGCTGATCATCAATGGGCCTCATCTGGTGGCAGTTACCAATGCACGAGGCCAGTTTCTCCTTCCTGTTGTGAATCTCTCCCTGCCCTGCTTTACCACGTAACTTCTATGGGATCTAGGGTTATGAAAGGGGAAGGAAAACAATCTCCACGCCAGGCATATATTTTATGAAGATCTGCTGGGTTCCAGGCACTAAACTGCTCCTGCTGTCAGCATTGTTGTATCTGAATGCAAAATTTGGCATTTATATGCTTCTATTTTAGATTCAATAAATTTGTACAGCATCTTGAGAGATTTCATAGCGGAAAAAGTTTGGTATAAACTTCCTAAACAAAACAAGCCAATTCTGGCCTGGAATAAATCCCACTGAATCTGATTTATTCAGATGAGATGAAGCCTCTGACTCAGCCCTGCCATTCGCAAGGGGTTTTAAGACACCTCACCTGTGAGCAACAGCACCAAGAAGAGGGCAAAGAAGTCAGGATACTCAGCCAGCACAGTCTCCAGGTGCAAGGCTGTGTGATTCCGGAAGAAAGTGGAGATGTGGCCCCCGATGATGTGGTCGAATGTGGAGCTCCAGGCCCGAGCCACACTTGCTGTCCCTGGGGATCCAAAAAAGTATCTTCATCAGTCCAAATAAACCTCCTGTCTGCAACTTCTACGCCATGGGCAGGACTGGAAGAGACATTTGTCACTTCTCAGCAGCAGAGGATAGTAGAAGGGCTCAAAAGACCTTCTAGCCCTCAAGGTTGGAGTGATCCCCCCCCTTCCCAATCCAGCAGCAGCACACACAGCATTCCATGCTCACATGTACAATGCATGCCCAGCACATCTTGGAACATACTTAACCAGTTCCGTGGAAGACCTAGTTTGGTTAGTGGGTTAGCATGCTATGCAAACTCAGCCCATTGGGTCAGTTTCTGGTTCACCATGTTGGGCGAGCTCAGAAAATGGGTTAATTCAGTCACCAGCTCAAACACATTGAGTGAAGCTAGTCATACATCAGAGCGATGGACAAAGGAAAGAAAAAGGAGAATTTTGTTGTTGAACAGCCTGTTATTCTCACTCTAGTCACCTCCAACTCGCCATAGCTGGGAAGCTCAAAGACAACTTTAAAGCTCCAGTTGTCCAAATCACTGCTGATCAGGAACTTTTGGCAAGCGTGCTAAATGCCAATAATGTAATGTTGTTTCTAGAGATGATAGTCTTTTTCTTGGCTCTTGTCAATCCCTAGTCCTAACAGTTGGGGGGATACCTAAGTTTTGGGGTCCAGGAAATATTGCAGGTAATTTCTAAGAAAGGTGGTCATGCAACTCTGACCGAGTTGATATTTTGGCGTATTTGCTGAACTATCTGAAGAAAAATCCCATAGGAGAATGACAGTTCAGGGATGTCCTAGCCCATGGTAAAAATGAGCAAACAGGTGTTTCCCTGATTTCATGCTGCAAACAAACCCTGGTTGTGAATGTTGTATTCAACCTCAAGACATTCTCACTTCATCATTCAGAAGTCTCTACTCCAAGCCGAAGGGTATATACCTATCATATAGGAGAGAATGAGGTTCCACCCTGTGGTGAAGGCCCAAATTTCCCCAACGGTCACATAACTGTAGAGGTATGCAGAACCAGCCTTGGGCACCCGGGCGCCAAACTCTGCGTAGCACAGACCAGCCAAAACAGATGAGACTGCCGCAATGAAGAAACAGAGCACAATAGAAGGGCCAGCCTGATCCTTGGCCACCTCTCCAGACAAAACATAGACCCCTGCACCAAGAGTGCTCCCTACACCTAGAGCAATCAGGTCCACGGTGGAGAGGCAGCGGGCTAGCTGAGTTTCCTGCGAGCCCAGGTCCACGGTCCGCTGCCGGATCAGCTTCTTGCCAAAGTTGACCATGGTTCTCTTCAGCATCCTGGCAAACTGTGTGTCACGTCCCGTCTCTCCAAAGGACCTGGAAGAGGAAACAGTAAAGCTTGTCAGCCAGCAGTGGGGAGGAAGGTATGCTGTCAGCAGGAAGCCCAAGATGGGAGGGATCCAGCAGACCCAATCCAGCACAGCTCAGTTGCCTGGGCTACCAAGAGGGTTACCCCAGCAGTGATTCCCTTCCACCTTTTAGGATCAGCTGTTTGCAGACAGAGCGGCAAGGCCTCCTGATCGATTGAGAAGTCTTGCTCCTTCACCATCTGCAAGTGGCGCAGAATTATACTCCAAGCGTAATGGTGATAAATTACAGTATCATCAATCCAGGCTCCCAAAGATTACTCTGGAAGTGGATGTTTTCACCGACTCTCCCATAAATCAGAGATTAGATCCAAGGTGTCTAGCTGCCCCATTCACCTATTTGTGTACCATAATGGAAATAGGATAAAATCTAAGGCTGCCTTTTGGAAAACCTGTACAGAGAGCTGGGAACAAGACCGCCATTTTAGGAAAAGCATTCCAGTCAAAATGGGAGAGGTAGCCAGTTGTGGTTATACATTACATCTCTGTGTGTTACAGACATAAAAGTTAGCCCAAAAAAAACAGCCCTCGGAATGCTACTTGGCTTCATTGTGTTTACACAGGCTGCTCATTGGATAAAACGTCAGGAAGGCACCTTCAGTTATTAACCAATTTAAGCTAACTTCAGTTAACAGACAACAGAACAAACTTCTCTTTAGATAACCTGGCTAAGCCAGGCTGGACAAGACCTTCAGGCCATCATCAGACACAGCATGTGACTCACATGGCAAGATAAGGCTTCGTGTTCTTGACTTCAGTGTTAGAAATCTGTTTTTTTCACAAACAGTAATGCAAAAAGTATTACGTCCGTGGATCTTTTGGATTTCAGTCCCCCATCCCACCCAGGGTCCAAGTGGGAGAGAAGAAAAGCTGGGCCCAGGCAGCAACAAGCTCCTTCTCCAAAAGGAAGCATTTCTAGCTCTTAAGTAAGGGTGGCATATGGCTTGTGGAAAACAAGCCAACATCAGACCCATCACTTCAGCAATTGGCTCGTTTCAACCAACCATACTATTGCACAAGGTGTAGCTGTCATGTTAAAGAACAGAGAAATGAAACCCTTTAATCCCTTCAACTAAAATTTGCAGATTCTTTCTTCAGAGGGTAGCATTATGCAGAACGGTCCCTTCTTTCCCAGACTTTGCCTCATTTTCCTCTGCCTTTTTATCACCCAGGTGGGCCCTTCCTTCCCACCCTTACCAGCAACTGTGGCCTGCTGTTACTCATCACGCTACACGCTCAATCAGAATCTGGTATGATTTTGGCTTGGTAAGTTCTGTGAAACCATGGTTTATGACTTAGCCTGATTTGCAAACCTGGCTTGGAGTTCATTCACTCATCTCAGTTAACCTAACACGGCTTAGTGCCCAGGTAGGAGAGAGGTGAAAGGTGAAAGGGCTGGACACAAAGAGAGAAGAGGTTGGTTTTTGCAGCTAGTATTAGAAGGTAAATGGCAACTCAAAACTGGTACAAGACCTGTTTATTCTCTTGAAAGTGGCAGCTCTGCCTGGCTGCCCAAGCGCATCTTGGTTTGAATGCCAAGCATGAGAGCTGCGTGCAGAGGAATCCTCCTTTTCTAGTGCTGTAGACTGATCTGTATTAAAATATGCACACAATCTGTTTCAGGCCAACACATCTGGAGGCCAGCAGGGTGGGGAAAGAGAGAAAGGGCCCGTGGCTTTCCATCTTTTACCGTGCCTCCAAATCGATATGGGTGCCATCGGCCCAGCCCATCCATCAGCTGATGGATAGCTCTGTCGAAAGGAAGAGCCGGGCAAAAGCTGCCTCCTTCCTCTCGCCATAATGAGTGATGGTCTGTAGAGATGAATGCCCCTCTCCTTCATCTGCTGGGGGAGGGGAGGGAAGATGATTCTAGGTATTCTGGAGGAGCTGAGAAATCGGGGCCACACTTGTACAAGCGGGAGGGAAAACTCAGATCATATCTATTTAGCAAGCAAAAGAAATTGGATAAGCAAGATCAGGCAAAACAGCAGCAATTCAAAGATGCAGAAACTTACTTCAAAATCAAATACTGGACAGCCTGCCCTAAATTAATTGGATTTAGCCCCAGTTAGTTTCCTCTTCTTTCTTGTCCCCTCAGGGAGAATGAAAACAAAAACATCACCCAGCCTGAGTCTATGTCTGCCCACTTGCACTCATCCATTCAGAATCAGAATCATCTCACCCTTGTTCCCAGTCCTGACACGTAGCTGCTATTTCCCATTACGACTTCCAGTGGGGTAGTAAGTATCTTAATCAAGATTGCTGGGGAGATGGGTGGATCTTCCAGGGTGGCCAAGGGTTGTATGGCCGCAGTTTACTCCTCTGAAGCCAAACATTGAAGAAAACATGTCTAGTTGCCACTGGAGGAAAGAAACATCTCAGACTTTGGAAGCTATAAGGACTTGTGACCTTGCAAAGGGTTCCTTTCAAGAGAAAAAAAAATGCCACCACCATGGGTACGTGCAACTGTCTCTCTCTAGCTCAGCAGAAGATAATTGAAAGAGCTCCTGGGAGCAGCACATTTTTGGGAGCTGAAGCTGAGCAGGAGAAAGCTATAGCATTGACAGTGCCAAGGCATGTTCTATGCAAAGCAGAACTATAGGGCTTTTGCTCCTGGCTGCCAGAGGCCACTTTTCCCACAAAGCGAAGTGCCTGAACAACTAAGACCAGAGGTTCCCATGGGCTCAGGGAGAAAAACCCCCAAGGGGCTCATGGGTGGGGGAGGTATTTCCATCACCCGTCCAATCAAGCCTAGCGTGATCTTCTGGGATCACATACCCCAATGGACCAGAAAAACCTTACAAAAACTAAGCACACAAAGCTAAAGCAGCTTTGATTTGTTTTCTTTCACACTCAGCACTTCCAGGCTGCTTCTCAGCCAGTCCAAAAGCAAAACTCCGGATGGTTCATTTGTATTTCCACTGACATTGTCTCGAGAGTGGTGGAGTACAAATAAGGACTGAAACCTGCTGGCGCTCCAGGCTTGGAAACCTCGTGCCCTCGAAATGGTTGCCAGCCAATTTCCTGAAAGTTCTGTTCCTGTGGCCGTTGCTACCGGGGAGGGGCACCGTCTTCTTGCATGAATAGACATCTGGGGAGGGAAGCAGAGCTGCCTGGTGGCAAATCAGCAGAGAACACATGAAGCAGACAGCCAAGCTGCTTCAGAGGCCTCTCTGTGCAAAGGAGAACACTCAGGCGGATAAAGATATGCCGCTGAATTGCCTGGCCAGGCCCTCGAAATAAAAGTGGAGATGACAGAAAACTGCCAAGCGGCAGCTCGGTCAGGATGGGAACGTTCGATTGTTCTTTCTTATGGACACTGCAAGGCTTGAGGGAGGGAGGCTGGAGAGGACCTGCTGGTTATCGGAGCCTAGATAAGATCGCTTGCCATCACGGATAAGCAACGCAGAGTTCTCCAAAGGCCAGACCGGCTATGCAGCTCATCAGTTAGTGCCAGAGCTTCCATCCTATCTCCCGTCCCTGCCAGCCAGCCAGGAAACTGCTACCCAAGAGAGATGCCACAGACGGCCAACCAAAGATACAGGATTGGCGGCCCGTAATCTGTTTGGCTAGCCGGGGAGGGCTGGAACAGCAGAGCCTCTCCAGAGGATGGATCTCCCTTTGCCCGCCCTTTCTGGCTCCAGGGGCCTCGCAGACAATGCCAGCATGCCTGGGGAGAGCTCCGCAGAGGCAAGGCTTCTGAAGAGGGGAAGCAAAGCCCTGCAGTTTGAGAGGCAGCGAGGTGTTGCAGTTAAAATACTGGCTTGGCTCAACTAGCTGTATCGCATAAGCCACTCCGAGGAGTGGGAATGGGTGGCAAATACAGTCGTAAATATACGCAAATGAAAAATATGCCCAGGTTCCAGGGGTGCTTCCAACTTTGGTCCTCTGTCAATGAGTGGCCAGGGATAATGTGAGAATTTGCACAAAGCCCTTTCTCACTGGAGGACAAGCTTTGTTGGAATGCAGCTTTCAAAACACAGCCCCCTGCCAAAGGACAGTGAAGTTGTTAGGAGCCCAGCATGCCACTTAAGCCAGAGAGATGACAAGAAGTGGGGAAGGGCCTGCAACCTCCTGGGTGCTGCTCCGGTCCGCCTGGGATCCTGCACAGCTCCCTCCTTGCAGCAAAGACCTTTGCAAACCAAGCAAAGCTCAGCGGTGCTGCCCCATCATGTTTATACCAGGGGCAGGGCATTCATTACAGTCCGCCAGCCTGCTATCATGAGCACTTTGTCCAATCCTGGGATCCGTTACCCAAATGGAAAGATACGCCAACCTTACTGTGCTGCCCCCCTGCTCAGGATTCTGAGAACACCTCGCTGACTGCTCAGTTAGCAAAGCACATCATGAAACGCTGCCAATTCCAAAGGCAGCTGAACTCGCCATTTGCCACCCGAGAAGGAAGCCAATTGTGCCTTGGAAGCCTCTCTGGATCCTATTAATAGATAACAGGGAGGTAGAAGGTCAAGTTGGTGCGGCCATGGCCGGGCAGAGCGGCAATCCCCACAGCTCTACGCAGCGTAGCCAAGGTTACCGCTGCGAGGGGAGAGCCAAAAACAAGCAGGCGCTGACAGTGACTGATGGCAGTGAAAGCGTGCCATCACCTCCCCACGGCTATCGGCTTCCCATTCAGGCCGCCCCACCGCTATCAAGGAAGGCCGCCTCAAGGCCAGTTCACACCAGCAGCGCTCAAGGTGAAACGTTGTGCTGGACCACTTATCCCTTCCGACTGGGCTGCTGAACCCTTCCAGGCCCACCCTGGCTGGTTTGCATGTGCAGGAAATTCATGCGTTATTTCAGGGAACAGTCCAGGAATAGAGTTGTCACTGTGGGAAAAGTTAACTCATGGCTCTTCAGAGAGCTGGAAATCCTTTCCTCACATGCAACAAAGGAGGAGTCTGGCAACATTCGGAGAGCAAAGCGGCCTGCCCCAGAATCACCAAGCCATCATGCGCCTTGACAGCTGGGATATCACTGAGCCAGCAGACGAGAGAAACACCAGCCATACTCTAAAGGCAAAGCTTTTGACCATTCAGAAGTCCGGTTATTATACAGTAAGGCATCAGGAGAACCTTGCCACATCAGGCCACAGATCCACTGTTGTGGCATGTTTGGGAAGCCCTCCACTGCACTGGCATGCAGCAGCCAGTATTTCAGGCACGCTGCCTGTTGATCCTCACTAGTATTTCAACAGCCTTCCAGTCTGGGGCTTCCATATGTTGGAAAGCAACCTCTGAATCTCTACCCAGCAGAGTCATGCCAAGACCAATGGGGTGACACTCGAGCAGATCTGAAGGGCACCAGGTTGGGGCAGACTGCCATAAACCACGCAGATGTTGAGTTCATGGGGAACAGCCATCACCAGCGGCTGTTGCAGCCTTCCCCAACTGTGCTGGCCAGCTGGAGAATTCAGGGAGGTATGTTACCAGCACCACTGGAAGTGCCAGGTTGGAGAAGGCCAGGAGGTTCCCTTCCAGCTTCCCAGAGGCCACTTGCAATGCAGAACCAAGACGCTGCAAGATGCTTTTTATTTTAGAGTTAAGAATGGTTCGCCCGCTTCCATTTATGACAATGGGCTAGCAGCACATGGGGGAAAAAAATTAACTAGCCGGAGAAATGAAGGCAACCGTAGGCCAGGCTTGGAGTTCGAAGCAGCACACTGCTCTCTGCGAATCAGGACTGAGAGGCTCACAGTCCCTGGGAAGAGGAGATGTAAAGTTTACCAGGCTCCTGATTCTGAAGGCCTCGGAAGGCAGGAGGGGCTGCACTCACGGCCCTCACAGGCCAGGAAGAGGCGGGGGGTCACTTCAGCACCTCTTGTATTTTCTCAAAACAGATCAAGGCAAAATGAGCTTCTGGAGGCAGAGAACTCATTTTGTACCAGCCAAGCTGCAGACAGCGATGAATTACAGGACCTACCATGTCTGTCTGGTAATTTAACACACTTCCAAATGCAGGAGCCTGGCTTCTGGGTTGTTTTTTTTTAAGGATGTTTTTCCTTTTTCTCTTCCTTACATTAGCAAGGAGGAAAATAACCCCCTTCTCGCCCAGCATGGCAGGCGCCTGGAAGAGCTCTTGCCAGCTGCCAAGTCATTAAGAGTCCCAACAGGGAGATGCGGACACGGGAGGAGGCTCTTTATGGCTGCTCCTGTTCATCAGCCGTAACTTATTAGAAAATGATGCGCACCTTTGGAAGAGCGGGGAGTGCTTGCGACAGGAGAAGCACCAGCAGAAGAGGAGTGTTCTGAGTGGAACTGGGGCCTCGGGGGCCCTATTCACGGCTTATTCGCTTTCACACTCAGTCTTCCGAGTCTGATAGGACTGCAGAGGCCACTTCGTCCAAAACTTTCCTGAAGCAGGAAATGTACCATCACCTCACTGACCCCCACCATCAGTGGCCATTCAGCCTCTGCTCAAAGGTTGAGCCAAGAGGGTCTGCTCTCCTCCGAGGGGCCTCTTACGCGCCGAGCTCCTCCTGAGATCCAGCAAAAAGCCTTTTTCTTGACCTTCCCTTCGGAAGCAGCTAAAAACACACGCGTTCTCTCGTTTATGGTACAACCCTTCAAATATGCCTTTTAGTCCTCCCTAATCCGAATTATATCTTCCTTTGCCCCGGCTTTCTTTTTGCCAGTCCTTTCCAAAAGGGTTGCTAAACATCAAGAAAAAACTCATTGGGGCTTGCTGGACACGTGAGGAAAAACAAACAAGAATGGCTCAGCGCACCTGTGACAGA